TGGAATTTGCCAAAATCCGAGGAATTCTAAATAGATGAAAAATAAAGCACAGGGTAAATTTTAAATGTAGAAAAAATTAACAATGCATTTATTTTACTTCAAATCAAATATCAATATTTTAAAAATTTCTTACATTAGAAATACTTTAGAACTCTTTTACGGGCAACCAAACCGCCCATAAATTCAAATTTACACGATTTACTAAGGGGCTGTTTGGTATGCAGAATTAAGAGTGTAAAGTAATTTATTTACCTGTATTTAATAGATTAGTTCATTTGGTTTGTTTTGAGCGGAACTTTAGTAATTCCTCAGAAGCACCGTGTATTTCGAGCGGCCATTTGCACGACTTCGAAACCCGCTCAAATTGAGCGGGTTCGAAATCCTCTTGGCCGCGATAACCACTCACTCGTCGCACAGCTCGCTGCGTTGAATTCGAAGCTCGCCGGCAAAGGCGAGATGAGTCAGGGAGAAGAGAAACCGCTGCCAGCGATTGGCGTCGACGCGAGCGCTGTGCCGACTCAACCTCGATCTCCATTTCTTCTCTCGCTCGCTCGCCACTTCTCCATCTCCATTTCTTCTGCATTCTGACGATGTATACGACTGCGCTGCTTGCAACGGCGGCGGCATTCAATACCAGAGTTTTGTACTGGTTTATATGGGTGATGGGCTCCGCGGAGGTGAAGGGAAAACGAGCAGTATATCTCAAGATGGGATCGATCACTAAAGACAAAGTCTAGGACAAATATAAACAGTACTGTTCTTTCTTCCGCCGGCCGAAATACACCGTCAAGTCATCGGAAAAGGTACTAGCCTTCCGTCCCAAACCGCTCCCAACGCGACGCCACTCGAGCACATGATGAACTCGTCGTCGATCTCATCAAAGCACGTACCGAGCATCACATCCTAGACGTTGGTTGCGGCGTCGGTGGCCCTATACGGGCCATCGCCGCTAGTTCGGGATCTACCGTCGTTGGCATCACCATCAACGAGTACCAGGTCAGCCGCGACCGATCACATAAACGTAAGGCTGGTCTCGACGGTGAGAGTGATAAAGGCGATGATTTCGCCAACGAGAGTGGGGAATTGAGGAGGCGGGTTGCTTTATTTTCTTTCTCTTGAAGGAGAATTTTTGTAAAACTCAAAGTCTATTTAGATTTTAGTTTTCTTACTCAAGTTCATGTTTGCCATTTCCTCTGTAAAAAAATTGGTTCCTTTGACGATTGCGAATAAGTGCTGCAGATGGAGATGGATATGAAACTAGAACCAAATAATACTTTATTCTGAATATACTAAACCAATCGAGGGGAACAGTTCTCTAGCGTTTATTTTGCAGACAACCAAACAGTCTCAAAGAATTCGGAATACAATAAATTTACTTTACATGCATTTATTTTATACTGCATTTCTTTTTTAGACAACCAAACAGCCCTAAATCCTACCTACGACCACATAACCCCTTAAGGGCCTATCGATTCGTTAAAAGTAAAAGAAATGTGATGATTCTGAAATGTAGGGCATTTTAAATATTTTAGAGTTATTTCGTTTGATGCAAAATAAGTACACTAGATTATTATTTTTATTCAATTCTAGCTAAATAAATACAATGTAAAGCCCAACCAAAATAATTGAAGATACAATATAATAAAAATTACTATTTATACAACTTTATTTTAAATAATTTCTCATATCTTTCCCTTCAAATCAAATACCCTCTCATTTTGGACACACACTCATCAACGGGCTGAATTTGCTAATTGTTGTAATTCTCAAATGTTTTTTTTTTAATAAATACAAAACTACCGTAAAAAAAAGGAGAAAAAGTGACACAAAAATTTAAAATAAAGCATGATAAAGTTGCACAAAAAATGTAGAGGTCGGTGGCCAATATTGGCGGCGTAGCCAGTGGTAGTGGTGGTCGGAGACGGTTATATTGCGGTGGTGGCCGATGGTGGTGGGCGATGACAATGGTCTGCAAATGAGCGATGGCGGTGGTGGTTTGATGGTAGCAGACAGTCGATGGCAGCTGATATGTCACCAAAAAATATAACATCATGCACGAATCTTAAACCAAAATTGAGTTATAAGCTTAAAAAATTAAATCAGAGATCATTTGATTTCTGATTTCAGCATACTTATAGTCGAATTGAACATCTCAGAAAGACAAGCCCAACGACACCAAATTTGACTCAATCCGAGCCCAAATATGTCCAAATCAAAGACCCAAAGCGCATTTGAAAGGTTCAAAACATAATATGAGTTACCAAACGGTTTTCAAATGTGGCATGCTTATAGTCGAATCGAGCGGCTCGACGAGACAAATCCAACGAGCCCAAGATCATTTAATTCTGAAATCGTTAAGGCATCCAATTGACCAATAAACGGTCCATGATCAAGGGGATCAATATCGACCCTACATTCAAACACTCCCATTTTGCCCTTGATCATCTATATATTTACAATTCATGCCACTCTAAAAAAACTATAAATAGCCCCCACTCTTCTCATGAGAGGGGAGAAAATAAGAAGGAAAGGAAGGGAGGAGTTTGGGAGCTCTGTTGCCGCCGACCACCGCCGGAGTTCCTGCCGACCACCGCCGGGGTTCTTGCCGACCACCACCAGGATTCCTCTCAACCATCGCCGGATTTCCTGCAGACCACCGCCGGGGTTCCTGCCGACCACCAATGGAATTCTTCCCGACCACCGCCAGAGTTATTCCCAACCACCGACAGACTTCCACCGATTTGCCGATCGCCGCCGGACTTCGTCCAATTCGCCGATCACTGCCGGACTTCCTCCAGTTCGTCGAACATCGCCAGACTTCTACCACTCCGCCGACCACCATTAGATTTCATCCAGTCAGCTGACCGCCTCCGAATTTCTGCCAGTCCGCCAACCATCGTCGAACTTCTGCCAGTCCGCCGACCATCGCGGGACTTCTGCCAGTCCGCCGACCATCGCCGGACCCTAAACCCTAAACCATCGTAGTACTTCTGCTCATCCGTCGATCATTGTTGGAATTCTTCCCGACCACGGCCGGAGTTCTTTTCGGCCACCGGCGGACATCCGCCAATTTGCTAAACACTGCAAGACTTCCGTCAATCTACCAACTACAGTCCTCCCAACCACTATCATCCGATTACGGTCATCCTGACCTCCGTTGCATGCTGATTACAATCTTTCGGACCTCCGTCGCCCGCCTACTACAGTCCTCCCGACCTTCGTCGCCCGATCCTTTTGACCTCCATCATCTGCCGACAAATGGCCCTTCTGACCCCCGTCACCCATCAACTACAATCCTCTCGACCTCCGTCGCCATACAACGATCATTATAACCTATCGCTCGCCGACTATGGTTTTATCGCCCCAAATAAACATGCAACACTGATTCTTCTAACTTTCATCGTATAATATACTATGCATGATGTATACTTGCCAAGACCTTCCTCTTAAGGAAGGGCCTCATTTGTAATGGGCTGCAAACACTAATGGATTCATTTAGACTGGGCCAGGCCCCGTGGTTTTTCCCCCTTTCAAAGGTTTCCACGTAAAAACTCTGGTGTCTCTTATGAACTTTACACCCTCTTCTTTTTCTGCTTGTGTTCTGGATATTCGTACAAAGCTAAGACATTAATCTTTATATTTCTCTACCGCCGCGAATTTTTCAGGACGCAACAGCAGCAATGAGCAGTGGCGGTGGTCTGCCGATTGTGGGAGCCGACAGTGGTGGTGGTCGGCAGTGGGGGCTGGAGGGGGTGGCCGGCGACGATAGTAGCTAGTGGTGGGCAGCTATGGTGGTTGGCGACGACTAACAGATAGTGGCGGTGGCGACAGATTGTGGTGGACGACGATCGGGCTGTGACAATTGTAATGAATTTCAGTATATTTGGAACTAGCCCAACTATGAGGAATTCCAAATTAAAAAAAAAAAAACTAGAGAGTAAATTTCAAACGCACAAAAAAATTATAATTCATTTATTTTAATTCAAATCAAACATCAATATTCTCAAAATCCTTACATTTGAAATACTTTACACCACTTTTACACATCCCGAAAATTTAAATTTACAGTATTTACTAAATCCTACTTTCAACTAAATAATCTCTTAATGGCCTATCAATTTGTTTAAAAAAAATAAAAGAAATGCAATGATCCTGAAATGTATCGCATTTTAAATATTTTTGAATTATTTCATTCGATGAAAAATAAATGCATGAAATTATTTTTTTTTTTCATTTAGCTCGAGCTAAATAAATATAATGTAAAGTCCAACAATAATAATGGAAGATACAGTCTAATGAACATTACTATTTACAAAACTTTATTTAAAATAATTTCTCATCTCTTTCTCTTCAAATCAAATACCCGCTTATTTTAGACACAAACTCATCAACCGGTTGGATTTGTTAATTGTCGTAATTCAGCACTTTTTTTAAATAATTAAAAAACTACCGTCAAAAAAGAAAAAAAAGTGACCCAAATATTTAAAATAAAGCAGTGGACAAAGGCACCCTCAGGGGCTGTTTGGTATGCGGATTTAGGCGGATTTAAGGCCGGATTTGGGCGAAATCCAGCCAAACGGCCTAAAATGCAAATCCAAATCTCACGGCAAACGAAATCCTCCGTGGACGAAAAATTCCGCCGATTCGCTCTAAATCCTGGATTTCCGAAATCCTTTGGTTCGGCGGATTTACGGGATTTGGCCGAAGAAGCGCGCGTAAATAATTAATTAGTATTAATAAAATTTTGTTATATTTTATTTAAACTTTTCTTGTCGTGCTTTAATTATCTTAATAATGTATGTCAACTTTTTAACCGCCTTAAATCTTAAAATGAACAGCCAAACAGTCACAAAGGATTTAACTGAATTTATCATGAATGTTACCAAACAGTTTCAAGATTTAATTCCTCAGAATTTCCTAAATCCGGGATTTGAAGGATTTACAAAATCCTACTTAAATGAAATCCTAAATTCTACCAAACAGTACCAAACAGCCCCTCAGCGCTGTAACTAACACTCACGCCAGTACGCCGGCAGGAAAGCCGGCTGAGATGTAACACGCCGGAGCCTGATCTTGGAGTGGAGCATAGTGTTCCTTCGCCTCTTCTTCCTCTATTCGCCGCTCCTTTTAGCCAGACATCGTATTAGCTATGTCGGTAACCCTCGACTCTCTCGGAATTTTGCACTTTCAAAGCTCATGCTCCCCCTATGGCTGAATTACCAATCAATCGAGAACTGTGTGGACTATTGATTATAGGGTCCAGCTCGTGGTTATGGGAAGGCGATGGAAAGGTTCGCGTTTTCGAATCCCATGATAATTTCTCCCGGTAGGGTTCTATGAACTGTTCTGCACTCTTTATTGTCAATTTCGTATCGTCAAGGGACTGCATTCTACTGTTCTACATTCTCTCTTGTTTATTCGCCTATTCTCTGCCTCATTTCTATCTAACGATTTTTTTTTTTCATATAGGTGACATGGATGAAATGATTGAAAGTTCTGTTCCAAGAAACACATTTACATCTGCTGGTGCTGCTGAGCCAATTGTAGAACCATATGAAGGTATGAAGTTTGAATCTGAAGATGCTGCTAGATCATTCTATTATGAATACGCATCTCAAATGGGCTTCAAGGTACGCGTCAGTTCTTTTGTTCGATCAAAACGTGACAAAACCATTATCTCCCGACAGCTTGTATGCTTTAGAGAGGGGTTCCGTTCAGCAAAAGATGGAAATAGTCAAGTTAGAACAAAGCGACCACGGATGATAACTAGGGTGGGTTGTAGAGCCATGATTATGGTTAAGAAACAAAGCTCCGGAAAATGGATTATCTCTAAATGTGAAAATATTCATAATCATTTACTTGGAACCCTGGGGAAGGTGGTTATTCTTGATTTTGATCCGTACGGACGTGCAAATGAAGCGCTCGAGAGTCAAACATGGAGAGAAACAAATGTGCATAGGGATGTAGCAAGTGATCCCCATGAATTAGTTGTGGTTCCATCAGAAATGGATCCTCATCTTGAACCGCATGAGGGTATGGAATTTGAATCCGAGCAGGCAGCACAAACTTTCTACAAAGAATATGCCAGGCGTGCAGGTTTTAGAGCACGTATCAGCACTTACTATCGATCAAAGCGTGATAATTCAATAATCTCTCGGTTGATTGTATGCTCAAAAGAAGGATTTCGGTCAAAAAAGGATGACAATGCAGAAGAAAGACTGCGTCCAAGAGCAATTACAAGGGTAGGATGCAAAGCAATGATAATGGTTAAAAAACGAGGTTCCAGAAATTGGGTTGTCTCAAAACTAGTTAAACAACATAACCATTTATTGATAGCTAGACATGTGGAAGATGATGACGGTTCTGATGTTGAAGGTGATGAAACTATTGAAAGTGAGGAGGGCTTACCTTCACAAAGTGGAGATGTAATTGCTGAACCACATGGAGGCATGGAATTTGAATCCGAGGAAGGTGCAAGGCAATTCTACAATGCATATTCTAAACGCATGGGCTTTAACATGCGAGTTAGTACCTATTATCGCTCAAAGCGTGACAAATCGATCATTTCTCGACTTTTTGTGTGCTCCAAGGAAGGATTCCACCTGAAGAAGGATACTATCAGCGAAGGAAGTAGTAGAAGGTCTAAAGAAGCTACAAGAGTTGGTTGTAAAGCTATGCTTTTGGTAAAGAAAAGCAATTATGGTAAATGGGTTGTTTCCAAATGTGAGAATGAGCATAATCATCCCTTAGGTTCTTTAAGGAAGATGCACAAATTGCGAAAGCGAAAACATTTATGTGGGACATCTAAGAAGCACGAAGATCAGCTTGAGAATTACCAAAATAGTTATGAATCTGCAACATCACAGTACAACATTCTTTGTCATGAAGCCAGCAAATATGCAGAATCTGGGGTTACGTCTACAGATCTCTACAATGTGGCAATACATACCCTGCAGCAAGCTGTGAAGAAGGTTTCATCTATTAAAAGCCTTGAAGTTTCAAAGTCTGGTACTGTTATCATTGGAGATGATGTGGACGATACCAGCTACCAGGATAGCCATGTTGAAACTTCTGCTTCTTATGACTTTGAATCTGCAAGAAGATTGAATTTCTCAGATCGTTAAGCAAACTTGAGCTTCAGGAGGCCATTATGTAGAATGTACAATGGGGTCATGCAGCCTGTTGATCATAATTGTTAGAGTTCTCCATCTAAACAGGTAGATGATTTATTCTGGACTTCTAATATCCAAACCATACAATTGTAGTGAACGGTGTCTGGAGATGCATTGTTGTTGTAACAACCCAAACTCTTAACTATCGAGATATTGTCTGCTTTGGCCCAAGAGTTTCACGATTTTGTCCTGTTGGTGTAATGTCCCAGTAGGTCACCCATCTCACAGTCCCAAAATTGATGCAAGATGAGCACGCTTAATTGCGGAGTTTTTTAATGAAATTCCAAAAGATATCTCGCTGTTTAAGAGTTTAGTTTCTTTTACTTAATGGGATTTCACAATCTCCACCATTTAAGTAACTGACGTCATCGTCAGCATCTTTATCCCAAAATCATCCACCAAACAGATAGGATTGTAGAGGCGGCCCTTGCAAGTTCAAGCGGTGGCTCCTGCCATGTAGCATTTTGTCCCATACAGGGTTCAAGAACTGTCTCCCATGACGTAGCACTTTGTCTTGTATGACACTTAATTCCTGTCTTTCGGCTGGTGTATTGCTCTGATACCATTTGTAGCATCCCAAACTCTTAACTATCGAGATATTGTCCACTTTAGCTTAAGAGTCTCACGATTTTGTCATGTTGGTATAACTTCCCAGTAGGTCACCCATCCCAAAATTGCTCCGGGATGAGCACGGTTAACCGTAGAGTTTCTTAATGAAATTTCAACCATTACACCAAAAGGCGTCTCGATATTTAAGAGTTTAGCTTCTTTTACTTAAGAGAATTCACAACTGTATTATATCATGTGCTGCTCGTGGTCATGCCTATAAGTCCTGTCCCTGTGGCCTTAGCAGGTGGATGTTGGTCGAGGTGAGCAACCTAGCATTGTTTCTGATGTTACAAATTAATGTGCTGATCCCTCATGATGACTGATAATCTTGCAACATGTATAGCATAGGTTATGGTTGATTTAGTAACTTAATGCTGTTTATTTCATGTTTTCACATATTAAGTTCGCTAACATCTAACGGATTCTGCAGGTATGTTATAATTTTTGTGCAGCTTATGATGAAGGGAAGTTACTATAGCAAGCAAACCGGGCTGTAAATATTTTTGCTTGAGGAGATTAGTTGCCCACCCATTTCATATGCAGGTTATAAGTTAAACCCAACATATATTGATGTCAAGCTACTTCTATAAGCATGAAATTTCATGTAAATATACTGTAGAATCTTGGATGAGAGGAAGAAGCACTTCATCTTGAGCTTCTGGCTTGTGGCTTGAATGCCTTATTACAAACTTATTTTGTCTATTTATTGACACTAAATGGATCCTAATCAAAGCATCATGAAAGGCTACAAAGGAACCTAACTAAAAGAAAGTACAAATCTTGGACCAATCACAACATATAGTCAATACTAGTCTACCATATTCATGAGAAAGACAAATTCTAAAAAAATCCAATTTCAAAGTAACAACTTAGTCATAATGATGAGAAAAGATTTAAATTTCTCCTGAAAATTCGCATTAGATAACATCTCCATGTCATCATCAATGCATGGATGAGCGATACTTAACTGCATGAGTTGAAGTTCAAAGGCTGGTATTGCAAAAATGCTTATTAAGATGCAGAATAAGTGTATTTGCACTATATAATGCTTGGAGCTCTACAATTTTCTGGAATGGAATGCTGTACACTTTAGAATATGTGGTATCAGTATAGTTTTCTCCAGTTCATATATTTCTATTAACTACCTGAGATCTTAGAGTTGAGACTTGAGAGAGGAGAGGTGATGAATCTGATACCAGGTGTTTGGTTTGTGGGTGCACATTTTTATGCAGAGTTGAAAATTTTTTATTGTTGAGACTTGAGAGGCTTCCTATTTCCTGAAAACCAAACAAATGCGGGAGTGGAGGGATTATACATTAAGTCATGCTCTTTAATGGGTCATGTGCGAATCTTGTCACAGAATGCAGTCATTTTATCTCTTTTAGATGTAATCGTCATTATATTATTTTATTAGGGATATTTTAGTATATTTCGCTAGTTTGCAAGCAGCTTGTTAGGAAGGAATTTATTGCTAATAGCCTAATATGTTAGTTATTTGTTCTCTCTTTTGGATTTATAAATAGATGCATTTTGAAGTATGCAAGATGGTTATGCTATGAATAAAAGTTTATTATGATGTAAATCCTTATCAATTCAGTATTTTTTTATATTGTTCAAGTCTGAAACTTAGAGATTCCGGGAGAGGTTGTTTCCTTGGACATGTCGAATAGTGGTTATTTTAGAGACTTGATATATCATCAAAAAATTATCTTGATCAGGCTCGAATCTCAAGGCAAAATCAAGTTGGAAACTTCAAAAATTAAATCCGGGGCCATCTGAACTCTGATTTCAGCAAACTTATAGTCGAAATGAACGTCTCGAAAAAATACGAACCTAATGACACCAAATTCGACCTAATCTGAGCTAAAATGGGTCCAAATCAAAGACTCAAAAGCATCTTTGGAACGTTCAAACCATAGTTTGGATTACCAAACTGTTTCTCTACCGCTGCGAATCTTCCGGGACGCAACACGACTCATTTTTTTCTTTTTTTTCCTTGCCTCTTTCTTCCTTTTCTGCATTATTTTTTGTTATGGGTTGAAAGTCCGGGTTTTTAGCTAGCTTCATTACTCCTAAATTTCTATTGACTGTGTAAACGTTTAATAATGGACGTGGCTTTCGTCATCCTTAATTGTTAATTTCTAAGGAAGGCTGTTCAACTTTCATAATAATCGATTTCAATCGTTTTCATATTTTCATCAAAGTTAATCAATTCTTATTTTTTCTTGATAGCTTTCTTCACATGAATTTAGAATATTTTTTGCATTATTTTTCCTATCGCATAACAGATCTGCATTATAAATCTTAAACTCTAAGATTACTGCGTCAGACAATAGTTAGGGGAGATGTTCGTTCTTCCATGGAAATTGAAGTCTTAATCTGATGGTAGGGAGCGGTAATTATTTTCATTGTAGTCAGAGCGGGATGGAATGAGCGAGCGATGGGTGACTGTACTAGATTGACTGGTTTTATGCTTGGTTAGAGGATTAACTTGAAAACTTAGCTATTTCTAGTGATCTGTTTCTCAGCCATACAGTTTCTGGGGTATTATGCCATGTAGAGGTAATTAGTTACGTTTAGAATGCCAGGAAGAATTAGATGGCTTGTTTACCTTCCATATGAAGTTTGAAGATTTTATTATGCCCCTAGTTATAATTGAAGAAAAAATAATTCAGCTCACTGGTAATGGTATTGCACAGTAGATTGCAATAGTGCATATTAACAAATATCATGTTTATTTGCAGTCTTTTTAATACCATGGACCAAACTACAAACCACTAAGAATCTCCATTACTGTTCAGTATTGTATATTTGCTAACTAAGTAGCATAAACTAAAATAGGAAAAAAAATCAAAGGATTTACATTTCAGCTTTGTAAATTAAAGTAGTAATGACTTAAAAAACATAAATAATAATAATGGAGTTTACTGTGCTTAACGTAACATTTTTTTTTGGTTTGATGTTGCTATTAATTGCAGAATTACGATGTCGAAGAGCTTCGTTTCAGCAACCTGAGTGTATATATAAGACTTGATACTATGAATCAATTACCAGTACCTATACTGGTAATGGCATGATCTTCCACAGCGAGGTACACAGCATATTTTCCATTTCGTGAGACTGAATCATATTACATGGTAATTTTGGTATTTTATATGCCCATATCTTTTTAAAAATCCATATCTTTTTGCTTTAGTCATAGATGTTCTTACTAGACACCTTGGTGTATGTTTTTTGCTGATGATCTTCTTGTTGTTGATAAGACTAGAGAGGGAGTTGAAGGTAATCTTGAATTATGGAGGTCAACTTTAGAGTCTAAAAGTTTTCGCTTGAGTAGATCTAAAACTGAATATATGGAGTGTAATTTTAGTAGTAATAAACCTAGTGAGGGGATAGTGATTTTGGGCGATTGAGTCATTAATAAGAGTACACAATTTTGATATATTGGATCTATTGTTTAGAGTGATGGTGAAATAGATGGGGATATTATTAGCAGAATTCAAGTTGGATGGTTGAAGTGGAGGAATGCATTGTGCTTGTTGAGCGATAGAAAAATCCTCCTCAAACTTAAGGGAAAATTCTATAAGATGGTGGTGAGACCTGCAATGTTTTATAGTGCTGAATGTTGGTCATTAAAAGAGAAGCATAATACCAAATTAAGTGTTGCAGAGATGAGGATGCTTAGGTGGATGAGTGGCTTTACCTGTAGAGATAGAATATGAAATGAGCATATATGTGAAAAGGTTGGAGTAGCGCCAATGGAAGATAAGATTAGAGAGAGTCGTCTTAGATGGTTAGGTCACATAAAATGTCTGTCTTCCGATGACCCGGTTAGGAAAGTAGAGACATTAGATTTTAAGAAAGGTAGAGGTAGACCTAAACGGATATAAGACCGGTCCAGCCGGTCCACGCGGGATCGACCGAGACACGAAACGGCGGAAATATTCCGCCTGGGCGGAGGCCGCGCGAGCCACTCGGCTTGAGGGAGCGTTTTTGAGGGTTTTGAGAGGGAAATTTGAATGTAGGGACTGTTTAGGGATTTCCTTTTGATTTGTATGCATTAAATAGTTGATTTTCCTAGGGTTTTGGGGATCTTGAATTTGGCTGAAATTTGAGATCTCTTAGATTTGGGTTTTTTTTGGGCTCTTGGCGTTGCCAGAGATTTGGGAGAGATCGATCCTCCTCTCGAATTGAGGATCAATTGTATCTTTTTCTATTTTGTTGCATCTCCTAGTGGAATACAAGTTTCTACTTACGTTTTTCTCTCAGTTTTCCCTAAATTGTGCTGATTTCCTGCTGTCAACAGCAGAATTTTGCTGTTTTCCTGATACAAACAGCAGTTTGCTTACCGATTGTGGTTAGGATCGCTTGCGAACTCAAGTATTCACAAGTGTTTCCTATCAAATTGGTATCAGAGCATCGTTTTTTGGGACCGTTGGCGGCTGAAATCCTGAAATTTCAGCGGGAGTTTCGTTTCCGGAAAAAGATCTTCGTGAATCTTGAGAAGAACGATGGCCGGAAAGAAGGTTGACGTCTTGGAAGGCGAAGTCGGCCAATTGAAAGCCGATTTGGAGGAAAGATTCTTCAACCTTCAAAATCAAATCACCTCCAACAATGAAAGGTTGGAGGGGAAGTTCACCGCAATGGAGGAAATGTTGAAGAAACTACTTGAGATGAAAACCAATCTGGCGACATCGGAAGTAAGAGAGACCGCCGACGGCCATGGCATGGGAGGAAATCCGAACCCCCCGCAGGGGGGAGAAATTTGGAGGTGGAGATCCTAAAGGAAGAGAACGATAGGCCTCCTCTAGAGCCTCTTTGGATTGTGTCTGGAAGGAAAGACTTTGTCATGGTATCAGTGGCGTGACAAGAGGGAGCCTATCAGGAACTGGAGGAAATTCAAAAACTGCATAATAGAACGTTTCCAAACCGACCGGCGAGGAGATTTCTATGAGCAGTTCTTTGCTCTGGTGCAGGAGGGATCAGTAGCAGACTACCGTGAGCGGTTCGAGCACCTGGCTAGTAGGGTGGAGCGATTATCAGATAGCGTATTGGAGGAGAACTTCATGAAGGGGTTGGAGGCAGAGATCCGAGCGGCAGTTAAAGTTCTGATGCCTAATGATTTAGAGGAGGCAATGAAGTTGGCACAGCTGGAAGAAAATCAGAATAATCTGGGGAAGGGAGGCAATGAAGTTTTCAAAGTTCTTATTTTTGCTTGATAGCTTTTTTCACATGAATTTAGAATATTTTTTGCATTATTTTTCCTATCGCATAACAGATCTGCATCATAAATCTTAAACTCTAAGATTACTGCGTCAGACAATAGTTAGGGGAGATGTTCGTTCTTCCATGGAAATTGAAGTCTTAATCTGATGGTAGGGAGCGATAATTATTTTCATTGTAGTCAGACCGGGATGGAATGAGCGAGCGATGGGTGACTGTACTAGATTGACTGGTTTTATGCTTGGTTAGAGGATTAACTTGAAAACTTAGCTATTTCTAGTGATCTGTTCCTCATCCATACAGTTTCTGTGGTACTTATGCCATTTAGAGGTAATTAGTTACGTTTAGAATGACAGGAAGATTTAGATGGCTTGTTTACCTTCCATATGAAGTTTGAAGATTTTATTATGCCCCTAACAATTTATTGTGTCCTAGATATAATTGAAGAAAAACTAATTCAGCTCACTGGTAATGGTATTGCACAGTAGATTGCAATAGTTTATTTGCAGTCTTTTTAATACCATGGACCAAACTACAAACCACTAAGAATCTCCATTACTGTTCAGTATTGTATATTTGCTTACTAAGTTGCATAACCTTATAGGAAAACAAAAAATCAAAGGGTTTACATTTCAGCTTTATAAATTAAAGTAGTAATGACTTAAAAAACATAAATAATAATAATGGAGTTTACTGTGCTTAACGTAACATTCTTTTTTTGTTCTTTCATGTTGCTATTAGTTGCAGAATTACGATGTCCAAGAGCTTCGTTTCAGCAATCTGAGTGTATATATAAGACCTGATACTCTGAATCAATCACCAGTACCTATTCTGGTAATGGCATGATCTTTCACAGCGATGTACATAGCATATTTTCCATTGCGTGAGACTGAGGCTTCCTTTGGGACAGCTTCTTTGCTGATTTCTAAAACAACTTTTTAGTACAAAATCAAGAAAATTTTGTACTAAAAAACAGTTTTGTAAAGTAACAAAAAAGCTGTCCCAAATGAAATTTGAATCATATTACAAGGTAATTTTGATACTTTATGTGGGCGTCTAATTTAGCAACTAAAATTTGCACATGACCTCAACGGTGATTTCGAAAGCATTGTTGTTTACCTTTGAAAGTTCAACTTTCAAATCTTCCAACGGACTTTACCAAGCTAAAGTTTACTGTAATTTAGGGTTTAGTTCAATGTGTCGTTTATTTTCTTCTACTGACTCTTTTGGTATCATTCTTTTCAGGCGACCGAGCGCCTAAGTACATACGATAAGAGACTCTTATGTAACGTGGGGTCGGTTACATGAATCTTTTTTTTTTCCATTGTATTCTATTAAGAATCAAAATTTCATTTAAATTTAATAAAAATTTTAATTTCTAATATTTTCTAACCAAGTCTTTTCAGGTATACCTAACTTTTCTTAACATAGGCCAAATTTAATACATCTACTCTCCTAAGAGGGTCATCAGAAGGTCATCGTTTTACAAGACCAAACTGTTATATTGGATAATAACTTTTATTATTGATATGACTCAAGAAAATTCACATGCTTGGCATGAATCTTGAGACAATTTTTGAATTGTAAACCTACAAAATTAAATTTATGATCATTTGAACTCTGATTTAAATAAATTTATAATCAAACAGAACATCTCGAAAAGACGACCCCTATCGACATTACTAATGGTATGATTTGACTCCAAATGAGCACAAATCAAATACTTGAATTATATTGTGAAACTTCTAAACATGAATTGATGGACCAAATGAATTTTAATTATAGCATGCTTATAATCAAATTGAGCGGCTTGATGAGACGAATTTAGCTAGCACAAGATCACTCAATTCTGATATCATAAAAACATACAAGTGGTTAATAAACGATTTACGATCAAGGGGATCAATGTTGACTGTATGATTAAGTGTTATGAATTTTGGCCAAATATAAGAAAATGTCCATATAAAAAAGACTATAAATAGGGTCTCATTCTCTACATAAAGGAAGATTCAAGAGTTGAGAGAACTAAAGAGCTCTCTCATGTTTTCTAGCTATCATCGTCGATGATCACCATGATCACCACCAACAATTCCTGTCACATTCTCGTAACTCCTATAAGAGAGTTTTTATTTGTATGCATGTGAACTTTTGAATTCTATAATCCTTATAATGGTAATCAATCAATTGATTCCAGCATCATCCCGTCTTTAATTGTCAGAAAGAGTTTTTATATATTTGGATTATTGCAACTGAGTTAGACCTCATAATTTTTTTTCTTATCATATTTTCAATGTAAAAATTTTCTTGTTTCCTGTAACTTTTTCTGTTCATGTTAGATTTTTATACAATTTTAAGATATTAAATTCTTAGTATTTAAATGAGAATTTGACTCTTAATAAAAAGAAAAAATAATTCATGTGGCCGATCCCACGTAATGGGATAAAATTTTGATATCATTATTGTTGCTGCTAAGATATTAAACTCTCACTCCACTGTTACAAATTTTTTAGCATAGTAATAATAATCATCATACACTATAAAAATTATTTTTCATCAAAAAAATTATTTGAGAAGCAACAAAGAAAAATTATAATCAAACTCTGATAAATGTTTAAAAAATAACATGAAATAATATGAATTATTACGTGTGGATATCGGATACAGAGAACCGTCCGATTTATCTTTGTAAACTATAAAAACATAACAAATTATATTTTTATTGTTCACCACTACCATTTTTATTATTTATAGAGATAAATACTAATGATTCTTTATGTCCATAATCAAATAAGGGCAAAACAATTCCACCCACAGAAATTGCCGCGCTAGAATTTCGTTTAACGTTACTACGCGACGATAAAAGTAATTAACAGAAATTAATTAACAGGAGCAATGCGTTAGCACGCTAAAAAACAACTTATTAATCACAGAGATCCAAATTTTTGGATCTCATATTTGGGCGCCTCTGATTGGATTAGATATATTAATCACTTGTTAATTATCATGATTAACTGTACTGACAGCTCAGTCCTCCGATATGGCACGCATGCCATTCCCGTAATTTTCAGAAATTGTAGGGGCAATAGTGTGTTGGAGCTCTCTTCTAGTCTTCGGTCACTCTCATTTACATAAAACTTATGTATTTTGGTTTACTTCGATAATTAAAATATTAATTGATATTGATGTTTATATTTATTTATTTTTTATCTTATTAAAATCGTAATAAAATATTCATTTAAGAATTTTTAAAATTAATTATTTTCTTATAAATATTTTAACAATTTAAATTTTGTATTATTAGAAATATATATTTGATAAAAACATTAGGGAAACGATTAGATGGATTGAGAAAAAAAATAATTTAAATTTGGATTAATATTTGAAAAAAAAAAAACTAAAAAAATATTATATGAAGTAATAAAAAATCTAATTTTACTTTTTGCTTTAATTTTCATAATGAAATTATTAAATTAATAGTTAGATGAATATATTAAAATTTTAAGTTTTTTTATTCGATTCGCAATTTGAATTCGAACATTCAAAATCCATTTTTTCGGAATTCATTTGGAGCTGAGAAGCTTGGCGTGTGTTGTTGATTATCAGCAATAATGGAAAGAAGATTAATGGATGACGGAGGGATCTGAAGGCGCGGCCGAGCTTGAGAGGGATGGAGCTAGGGGACCATAGAGAAGCCAACTTCTTGTTTGATTTTGGATGGCTACTTTGTATATAATATCATTATATTACACATGAAAGTAGAGGAGAGAAATCGTCCCAACTCCGAGAGCTGTGGCTCTTTTCAACTTGCTACAGGTCTTCCCCCTTTCCAATTTGATCTCTTTTCTCGCAAATTGTTCTCAAATTCAAGTTTTGGTTCGCGGGTTCTAAGCTTCCGTCCGGGTCATGCAATTTTATCTTTAAAAGGCTGTCTTTTTGGGGATTTGGGGTTTGAATTTGGGTTAATTGGTTGGCTGGGATTCTTTTTGAAGAATTTTGAATGCTCTGATAGTTAGGTTCTCCTCTTCTCCAGCATGGCACTCGCCATTCTAATACTTGTTGATGGATTAGTTGAACCTTCCTGTTCCGAATCTGAGATTTGTTGAATTCTTTGGAAGTTCTTCATGTCTCAGTGGACGGCATTCGGGTTGCATTTCTGAGATTTTTAGATGATCTTTTGAGAAGCAATAGCTAGCTAGCAAGCAAGAAAGAATTGTAGAACTTGTTCTTTCTCTGTTTATCTTGATTTGGAAGAGGAAAAATGGCGATGGCATCAGCCGTGAAGGTAGTTCTAGGTTGTATTGCATTTGGATTTTTCTGGATGCTAGCTGTTTTCCCTGCCGTGCCTTTCCTACCTATTGGAAGGACTGCTGGTGCTCTCTTTGGTGCCATGCTTATGGTTATCTTCCGTGTTATATCGCCTGATGAAGCTTATGAAGCCATTGATCTTCCAATACTTGGTCTTCTCTTTGGAACCATGGTGGTCAGTGTCTACCTTGAAAGAGCAGACATGTTCATGTATCTTGGTAAATTGCTCTCATGGAAGAGCAGAGGAGGTAAGGATTTGCTCTTTCGTGTTTGTCTTGTCTCTGCATTTGCGAGTGCTTTGTTCACTAATGACACTTGCTGTGTTGTTCTCACTGAATTCATCTTAAAAATTGCAAGACAAAACAATCTACCACCCCAACCTTTTCTTTTAGCCCTTGCTTCTAGTTCAAACATTGGGTCTGCTGCAACTCCCATTGGCAACCCACAAAACCTGGTCATTGCTGTTCAAAGTAAGATTTCATTTGAGAAATTCTTGCTTGGAATCTTTCCTGCTATGTTGTTGGGCGTGCTTGTCAATGCAACGATACTCCTATGCTACTTTTGGAAGCTATTATCTGTTGAAAGGGATCAAGAAGCAGTAGAAGAAGCTGGAGATTTGTTTGCTGAGGATGATGTGATTTCTCACCGCTTTTCCCCTGCAACAATGTCACATCTTAGTTATGCAACCTCGCAGGAATTCAGTTCAGCACTTGATGCAATTGAACAGAACCCAGCACTGAATGTGGATTCTGATTCAGCCGATTCTACAAGAGGCAGAATAGTTGTTGATGGTGAGATTATCGTGCAACGGGCTTTGAGTGGTGGAATAGAACCTGCAAGGAATTCAAGTTCATCAAGGGATGCATTTGAGAGTACTAATATATCACAGAGAAGGGAGGAGAGATCCTCTACAAGAAGATATGCTAGAACTATCAGCACCAATAGGGTTGATTCTTCAAGAGAAACATCTTCATCTTATTCATTAGAAGAGAAGGATACTCCTGCGGAGAAATGGAAAAAATCATTGTGGAAGATGAGCGTCTATGTCGTGACAATCGGAATGCTTATTTCTCTTTTAGTTGGGCTTAACATGTCCTGGACTGCAATCACTGCTGCTCTTGCTCTTGTGGCTCTTGATTTCAAGGATGCTCGTCCTTGCTTAGAAAAGGTACTTTCTCAACTGGAGATTCTCAATTTTTGTTAAATAAGGCACTAATATCAACTCACAAATGGCATAATACTCCATTAAAAATTCTTAAGCACATATGAAAAATGCTTTAGTCCCTACATAGATAGATTCTCAAATATGTTGATATTGTGCTTTTATTGTGTGGTATGAAATAAACCTGCATATTCTAACATAGAAATATGAACTGCTCTAAAGTCCATCCATAAGTTCGTTAAGTTATCAAGAATATTAACATGCACAATGGGCCTTTTCTAAGAAAATTCTTCATATAAACTAAAATTGTTTTTCCAAAAGAATGAGAGAAAAATGAAACCAATTTATGCCTTAAAGGCATCTCATTAGCTGTTTATGTGGCATATTTTTAAGTCAACAAATAAATACCCTACTTCTGCATGTTAAAATAAGGTATTTCTTGCAGAGTAATTCAAACAAGTATAAGATATTTCACTTTGTTAATTTATTCCAACCGAAATACCTTATTTGTAAAGAAGTTACTTATTTCTAATGTAATAAATACTAAGTTACTAAGTATCAAAGTGAAATACCTTATAACTAGATGAAGTATTTTGTAACTATGTGTGCTTAAGATGAACAATAAGACATGCTATATGAAGAGTTGTGCCATCAAATTCCACATAAACAGTCGATTTGCTAATCTGTTATCAATTTAAATGTAGATCTATTTGAGAAGTCTGGATCTGTTTTGAAAAACATCTTGCATTTTTTTTTTTAATGTTGAAAAAAATAAGTATCCAGTTCATTAGCCAAAATAGTGCACAGGAATCTATGTGATAGCTTGTGCATGTTGTTTATCTAATATTTTTGTCTTGCTTGTTGAATTTCTGTCAGGTTTCTTACTCCTTGTTGATATTCTTCTGTGGTATGTTCATAGCTGTTGATGGTTTCAATAAGACAGGAATACCAAGTACCCTTTGGGATGCAGTTGAACCATATTCTCGAATTGATAGTTTTGGTGGGGTTGCATTGCTTAGCCTGGTTATTCTTCTTCTGTCTAATGTTGCTTCCAATGTACCCACTGGTAAGTTGTCTCATTTATCCTTTCTTCCTAAAAGTTAAAAGTATTATGAAGCTTTTGACTTGAATTTTTCTTAAGGTAACATTTAAACTATGAATCAGTTATGTCTAGTTTATTTGATCCTTTTTTTATGCTCTCTTTGTTCTTTCTATTCCATATTAGCCTTGCAATGCGAGCATTTCAAACCATTTTACTTCATCTTCGACATCATTTTACCATTTTTTTGGTTTGCAGATGTATCTTGTATTTTTTTGTGCGACTTGTTTATACTTCACTTTAGTAGCGTTGGATTTTAATCAAAACCTTTTTTAGTTTTGGTTTTAATCAAACAAAAACTAATGGAGGAAACTCCCTCCTTCAAAACAAAAGAGTGCTCGTGCTCCCGTGGGGGTGGCAATCTCCTGGGGAAGCTGGAATACCTTCCTAAACTGCTGAAGCAAGGGCTAGACAATGTTGGGAATGTCCTCTTTACCCTCTATCTCTCCTCTCTCTAGACTCTGGAGCTCCACCAATGAATGAGCTCTTACCGAGACGAGTCACAAGTAGCTCGTTGAATGCTCGGTTCATTTGCAACCCTAGAAATCAGCAACAAAAAACCCAGATCTTGGTCCAGGAACACGCTCTGATACTAATTTGATACACCTTGATATTAATAAATAGCCAACGAACAAAAGAAATTCAGCACAAAATAGATTTATTTATTGCTAGGAAATTAAATAACAAAAGCAAGATATAATGATCATCTTTCAAGAGGAAGATATTATCTCCCAAATCCTAGACACCGCTAGGATCCCTCACACAAAGAAAACTACAACACTCAACATCTGCATAAACATAAAAAAACCATATTATGGACTTAAATAGGCTTCCTCCCTCCCTCCTAATTCAGCCCCCTTCCTATATATATCTCCCTCTTTAATTTGAAAATAAATCAATTAGGAAAGAATCTCATTAGGAAATGATTTCCTAATTGATTTCTTCATAATATAATGTATTAATTCCCTGCTGGGTCCTGCCCTCTTAATTTTCTCTCCTTGTCCGCCGGCCCCACTTGGGCCAAACTTCCTACTGGACCAGCCCGTCTAGTTCGTTCATATTAGTTAGATTCTTAATATTGGAAGCATAATATATTAGAAAAAATTCCTCACAATTGGAGTTATTATTCTTGATTATTGGTTTTTTTATTTTATTGTCTTGTATGTCTATTTATGTGATCTCTTCAAGTCAATAATATACACATAAATTCTCTTTTACTATTATCAATTATATTAGAGAGATGGTGTGAGTAGCACATATTGAAAAGAAATAGTGAAAAATAGATTTAGATAATTTTTATGTACCCAAGGATAAGTAAGAAAAATGAATAGACTAAAGATAATATGGATAGTTGTTCAAAAGGATGCACACATAATAGGTTTAACTCATTAGGCATGAATGAAAAATAAGGATTTATAATGCTGCCTCCAAATAGTTAGGATAACGCTGTTGATGATAATTTGAGCTTTATCTTCAACTCATTTATATGCTTCATTTTTGTTTTTTATTTTTATTTTTATTTAGGATGTTGATGAGTGGTTATTGATACATGATGTACCTTATTTGGATGGGATGTTAGACATGTCACAGCTATTATGCATGGGTAGCTGCATGCATATTCGGTTGATCCCTAAATAATTGATGCTTATAGAATTGTCTTATTTTTATTGTTCAATAATATAATTATGTTTTTAAACTGTTCAATAATTAAATTATTAGGAATTCATCCTTAATTTGCAACGCCATTTCTGCTTTTATTGTAGATAGTACAATCTCTCTTTGCGCCAACTCCAAAAGATTAGCATTACTCTTTAAACTTGAATATGATATTCCTAAAAAAAAAAATACTTCTTATATTTTGAGCATAATCATTTCAATGACATATTTATATTAATCATTTCTTATAAAGATATTTGTTTTTCATTTTTTTTATAAATATTATATATTGCTACAACTATAATAGTTGTATTTAGGAATCTAATCTAATTAATTTGCTGGAATATGTACTGATGCTTGTTACCATCTTACAAATTTTGCCAATCCTATTATAATAGAAGATTCATGTTACAATATACTTTCTGCTGAAAATTTAAAAATTTCTTATTCCTTCTTGGCATATTCATGCTTGTCGACCTTGTCTCTTTGTGCATTAGTTCTCCTACTCGGAGCAAGGGTGGCAGCATCAGCAGCATCTATCTCTGCATCCGAGGAGGACCGGTCATGGCTCATACTTGCATGGGTCAGCACGGTGGCCGGAAATCTCTCTCTGCTTGGTTCTGCTGCAAATCTGATAGTCTGCGAACAGGCTCAAAGGGCTCAATTTTTTGGTTACAACCTCTCCTTCTGGAGCCATCTCCGATTTGGCATTCCTTCTACCATTATTGTCACTATTATTGGTTTGCCTCTTATCAGAAGCTACTGAACACTTTTTTTTTTTTGATCTGGTAAGTTTCTGGTAAAGTTTTAGATGTTAGATTCAGATAAGCCAATTGATCCACCATCACTGTTTCTTTATGCAATAAGTTGTGTAATTTAGGAATTGTTTCAACTATATAGATATTGAAACATCTGTTTTCAAAGATCAAGCTTAAATGAATCTTTTTCTTTCAAGTCCTTACTGTTTTAGATTTGAAGTTCTTTATTTATCGCCTGAAATTTTAATTGTTTGAAGGCAAAACCAGCTTCTGATTCTGTATGATTGGATGCTTATTCTTCATTTCTGGGAGTTTTTTAGATTTGTTGAAATGACACTAATCTAAAAAGTTAATGGAGGATAGGGGTTAAGTTGGAGGTGATAGAAGAGTTCAACACAAATTTTGTGAGAGATGGAACTTTCATGCTCTGTGTACAAAATAGAAGACGGTTTATAGGCTAAAATTTCATATTATATATAAAAGATAGTTCAGAGGGTTGATGAACACTCTTATGCTTCGTTTGAGATGATTTTTTTGTTGCTTCTTAAAACAGCTTTCTAGTTTAAAAATTAAAAATTTTATAGTATAAAGCTGCTTTAAGAAGCAATAAGAAAACCATCCCAAACAAAGCCTTAGCCCTTGCTTAGTTCCATCATTCATTATAATGGAATTTGGATCCTTTTTGATAGTACCTACATCATGTTTAGTTTACTAATCTCATACATTCAATCAACTATAGATGATTGAATTACTTCCACATACTTTTCACAAACTATTTCAAATTTGATAAAGTGAATCCCAACCAACCATAGTGGATTGAATGTTGAGGATTAAGAATTGCACATTTTGCAATTACCATGAAAATTGAGGATGATTTGAATCCATTATAATGACATTAGTTTATGTATTTTTATGTAACAAAAGGCTCGGTTAATTGGTGGGCTCTATATATAATGATTTTATCATTGGAAATTGAACTTTCAAGAACATTCTAAACCCTAAAATTTGAAAACTATGTGATCCATGAGGCTCTTAGGCTCGCGGCTAGTGGCTAGTCCTCGGGTTACCTATATCAAGCCCAAGCTCAAGCTTTTTGGTATGATTGTTCCAAATAACCTTTCTCCATAGGCATGTCAAAGATATTCTGGTATCCCCATTATGCCCTATTGTAAAAGGCAATCTATTAATTGATTTTTAATCTTTTTTATATCATCTTTAGGGATGCAAGTTGGTCTAAGCTAATAAAAGAGATAATTTGTTAAGCAGAGAAAAAAACATTAGAGAGAGTCAAAGATCAAGCATGGACAAAAAATAGTAGGCCATTTGCAAAAATTAGATGGGCGATCAACAATTTATTCTATGTGAGGGATTTAAAGCAATTATTAGAGCAACCCTAAACAATAATAGATTATAGCTCTTACATAAGAATGTTTAAAAAAAAGTAGGATCATAAAGGGCATCTTTGTCTCAAATCAAAATTGAAATAAAATAATCACATAGCTCTCTATTAGGCATAAAGAAATGAACAAAAAGATGCACCCCACAATTCAATTAACAAAAATGTGAGGAAATCTAATAATAAATGAGATAGTAAAGTTTTTTTTGTTTACACAATCAAAAGTTTAATAAAGGTTCACTTTAGCATAAAAAATCTTTTGACTCCTGCTTTTCTAAAATATTTGATGTATGCTAGAAGCTAAAATAATGTTATCAGCAATATCACTACTTTCAACAAAAAATTGTTTTAAGTTGTGTTAATAATTTTATCAAAAGCATATTTAATTCTATTTGCGAGGGATCTAAAGATGAACTTATAAAAGTACTACATAGGAGGATTAATCTAAAATAAAAAAAAATTGATTTGCACTTACCTTTTTAGGTATAAGAGCAATGGTAGTAAGTTTAAAAAATTTGGCATTTTAAAGATTTTCAAAATTATAATAAATAAGGGTCCCCTAATCACAAGAATCATTGAAGAATCCAGCACTGAAGCCACCATGACCAGGAGATCAATCATTGTTAAGAGAAAAAAATATCTATTTTGATATCAAAGATCAGAAGTAGAAGAATAAGACCGTTCGGGACGGCTTTCTTACCGCTTCATAGAAAAAGTTGTTCTAACAAGCAGAAAAAAAGTTGTCCCAAATGAAACGGGGAAGCCTAAGTCTTTGCCAAATAGAATTAGAGAGAATCTATTCAACACCAAATTAGAAAAAATGGTAGCCAGTTGTCATAGGCATAGTTACCAATTTGATTGTAAAAATTACAGTAGTTAACAACTTCAAGTGAAATATCAGCTTGAGTGTGAATGGGCTCATGTGAAGACATCAGCTCCTTAATGTGAGTGTAACTGTATATACAACTGTATATACAACTATTTTCTTTGTGCAGAAATCCCAAATTAATTCACCTTGCTTTAGCTCTTTGTGAAGCGCACCAAAATTCAGTGACAAGACTATCCTGGTAGGATCTGGCTTAAGGAGATAGTGATTCAAGGGATCAACCTCGCACAAGTGAAACATATTAGATTGATCTTCTTTGAGCTTGTTAGCATTGTTAGATATATTTAAAAAGCTATTCCAAACAGTATGTTTGACTTCTTTTGACCACTGTAAGCTTTTGCTCTAAAGGATAAAAATATGATCATCACCAACAAAAATGTCCAAGCAAGCTGAATGATCAAACATAATGTGCCCAATAGTTTTTTGTTAAGAAACCAGTTGTTAGAAGTGGGAAGAGCACCAATGAAGATGACAGGAAGGGAGTGATCAGAACAAAGAGGAGGGATAATAAGCAAAAAAATTGAACAATCCAATGATTGTTCATCAAGGCTCTATCCAACTTGGATCTAATTGGATTTTCTTCTTGATTATCATAACATGAGAAAGAAAGATCCATATCAGGCAAATCAAGAAGACCAGCTGTATGAATACATTGATTGAAATTAAAAAATATACATATAGTGAAGGGGATGAGATAGATCAATCTTGGTTTCCGTTTGAGACGACTTTTTTTCTGTTTTTTAAAGTAATTTTTTAGTACAAAGATTAAAATTTTTGTACTAAAAAACTGATTTAAGAAGCGAAGCATAACCCTCAATCATCTTCTACACCCTTAGACTATTGAATCACCTAACATAAAACAAACAAAATATATGATAGAAGAGAGAATTTGAAGACTCCCAAAGATCTTCTCTCAGCAGAAGCATTACTCGCATAAACACAAAATTTTACCATCAAAGAGATTCATATCTAATCAAAGCAAAACACTTATCTTTTGGTTCATAAAGCTATCCTTTATTCAAATATAGAGTTGAAATATGACAAAAATACACTAATATTTCTCATGAGTTGGTCACATGATCTGAAACACAGAAAGATTACAGAAACCTTTAAACTTCCTCTAATGGTTATTGCTCATCAAAGCGACAGCCACCAGTTGCAGAAGCTTTAAAATGCCAAAGTATCCGAGTTGCCCTGCTGGAGAAGCACTGTACTCACCTAAAACACCCCAACTCCTCTCAGCTTTAATGGCGACGATGCCTCATTATTCTACATAACACAGCAAATATTAAAAGCAGTACTCATATTGATCCAAAGCGTCAACACTATACTTCCATAGAAATATTTTTGCCTGCAAAGCCATGGCTGAGGGAGGAGAGAAGTCTTCTTCGTTTGGTTTTTAAAGAAAAGATGCGAGCTTTATTTGCTGGAGTGAGAAAAAGGGAAGAGAAATTCGTATGAAGGTGAGAGGATCTTCTAAGAATATGCTATGGCCACATTTACTTTTTCTCTCTCTCTCCTCTTTTGCTTTATTTTTTTGAACGTTTTTTTTGTCTTGGCTTATCTTTGGCTTTGTCCACTTTAATTGTTTAGGTTATAATTTTCTAATTATTTAGTATTAAAATTTAGCGAGTCTTATTTTTTTTTTACTCAATTTTATTCAATTATCCAATTAATATTTTTTAAATAAAATTTGACTTTAATGCCACTATTGTATTTTCATATTACCCTTGCTCTCATATAAAATTATAAGGGAGATTTACATACATACTACTTAATACTATTCTATTTACATATTTAACACCTAAAATTTTAATATTACATACATACCACTCATAGTTCATTTTCATACCAAATATAAGTGATATAAATAAAATATATG